GTTAGGCTTCTGTTTTCTATATTATTACTATAATTATTTTACAATTTATGTATTATGGATCCTGCTTATATAACAATGTCTATATAGTAGTTAAATAGAACATTGTGTATAAGGAAACTGCTTTTTCATTTTGATTAACTGATTATTTTACTAAGTGGGCATTAAGTAGGCAGATTTAATGTACTGCTTTCAATAAGTGGAACATTTTTTTTCAGGACAGCTCAAACTCAGAGTTATAATATGTCAGACGTTTTCCTATAATGTATATAACATCACATTTATCTGAGTTAATGTAAATATAAGATCCTACAAAGGTCATTTCCATCTCTACATACTGGATTCTTGTTCTGTATTTTGCAGAGAAACGTTTATGCACCACTGGCACAATTTGTTATTATAGAACTTTTAGGTACCCAGCTTTCTAAATAACTTTCCTTTAAAAAGGAGAAAAGATAGAGTTCTAATTTCTCTCGTTTTAGGGGTTTGTTATAGGGTAATTATTACTTTCGGGACAAATAATTGTGTTCTCTCAATGTAGTAGACTTTTATAGGTGTAATTCAGGCTTAGCTCTTCAGCTCCCTCAGTAGCCTTGGATGGTTCTCAGTTTGCCTAGGTCCAAACACAGATGAAGTAAGTGACACAAAAATAATTTGTGTAAATTATATATATCCACCACTGCAATATTTTTAAAAGTTTTTAGTAATGGAAGTGAAGAGTTTTCAAATATCATAGAACATTGTCAACTTTAGGATTAAAATAAGTGATGCTCGTCTAAATAAAGTTAAATGTATGCAGCCCTATAACCTATGAGATATAATCCTATCATTTATTTTTAAAGAGGGCCTTAAGCAAAAACAAAATAAAACAAAAACCCCACTTAAGACCAGCTGCTGGGCCCACCTGAAATTATGACCTAGAATTCCCATTGGATGATGGGCTCCTTGCATGCATATGAAGCTTCTGGATGGATCTAAATAACTTTTTTTCTGTAGACTGGTAGTTTCCTCTGCTACCTTTAGGAGCTGTGTATTTGGAATTTTTCAAGTTTTATGAAATTTCAATTTCCAGTTCTGGCTTTGGTCAGGTTTTATTGATGACCCAAACTTAGATCTAAAATGCAACCTTTGCCATCAGTTTCGCTAGCAATTAATCATGGCAAGTGCTTTCAAAAGCTCTCTGTGCCAGCAGAACCCTCCCGCCTGTCAACAGAGCTGCCCACCTCTGCCACCCCATGACAATTGCCTAAAGATGTGCAAAGACACTCCCCTCAGGTGCTATTGCATGATGCTACCCTTTCATTAGCATGGTTCATTCAGCAGCTAGTGCTCTCCCAGAATGAATACTCTGACACAGCTACCATAATAGAGCCACACACAGCTGCCAGAAATATGCAGGTATGCACATTCTTTGGTGGCTAGGCCTAAGTATGAGATTTAGACAGCAATTTCCTTTAAAAATCATCTATAATATCTTTAAGAAATTGACCTGTTTTAAAAAAAAAAGTAATCAGTGTCGATAGTTGAGATTCAAGATATGAGGGTATGTTAGAGTACAATATCATCAGTACTGCATAACTGCCCTTTGTAACACTACTTCCATGTCAAGATGCAGGTAGATAAATTGAGAACAAGATAGCTGAAGCATTTGGTCTGCGGTGTTGAATGCAGATATACAAATGACAACCTTAAAGCAATAATTCATCCTCATTGTACAGCTCTAGGAATACTCTGGCCTTTGAGTAGAACAAATGAAGGATTGTGAAGAATTAATGGGTGCAGGAATGAATTTCTTCCTTAGGCTGGAACATCCAGTAGAGGCAGGGGTAGGGTCCTATGCCCACATCAGAGGAAGCTTCAGAACCTGAGTGATAGTTTCCTCTCCACTCTTAATGGCAGCCAGGGCCATTAGAGGTAGTTAGCTGTGTTAATCTCTCTCTGTGTATATATTATTTAGTTAGTCTAAAAGGTGCACTTATAGCATGCCTTCTGCCATTAGGGAGTCAGCATATGCCAGCAGTTACCAAGGTTATTTCCCTGTACTTGGAATAGCAAATAACAGTGTCTCTGCAGACACTGCTGTGTCGTAGCTGTTGCTAAATGCTTACTTTTTAATGGCAATTGCTACCACAAGCAGAAACATAGCAGGTGATGTCCCATTAACAGAGGAAATGAGATACAGTAGAAGGAGGATTCAGTGGCAGCCCAAGAAAAAAGGACAAGACATTACCGGTAGTGACAGCAAAGGGACTCCCTTGAGGAGAGAAGCAAAGAACAGTTATTAAGAAGGTGATAGAGGCCAAGAAAAATGTGAAGGGATGTGGGAACCTGATCTGATGAAAGAAAAGGACAGAAATAGGCAAAGTAAAGAATTTGAGAGAAGAAAAGGCAGCCAGCCAGAAATCACCAAAGTGAGATCCTGAGGACATAGAAAGGATTTGAAGTGCTGCCAGACCTATCTGTGTTTATATATGAACATTGATAAGGCTTTCTACGCTTCTTCCCCCATATCTTGTGGACAAGAATTTTGTAATTTGTGGAGTAAGAACACTGCAAAAAATAGTGTAAACGTTGCTGTTAGCCATTTAAACTCAAACTCAAAACAAAAACCTACAGTTAACATATGTTCACAACTGTTTGCAACCAGGAGGGTAAGGAAGTCAAGGATGACCTGCCCCAGGTTAGACACCTATGTGCCAGGGAGAATAATGGTGTGACAGTGAGAAAATGAGGGATCTGCACATCATATAGGAGGAAGGAAGAGTTCAGTTTGGACCACATTAAGTTTATTGTTAGAAAGAGACAAACACATATGCTTCAGTATAGGAAAGATATGAAGCATGTGCTTAACTATATTATAAGCAAGTCCCACTAAAATCCATGCGATTTAAGCCTCTGATTAGGAAAGAGAGGAATGAATCAGGAAAAAGAGGAATGAAAAAAGGTAAACAAGTACATTTTCAAGTCCTGGGCACTGGATGGTAGATGAAGCCATTAGCCTGAATGAGAGTATTAAAAATCCAGCACATAAAATGAATACACAAGATGCTAAAGCGTAGTAGACTAATTCTACTGTGAATTAGCATGCCATGGTGAAAACCATGCTAATGTGCTAACACACAGCAGAATTAGTCTACTGTACATTAGCGTCACTTAAAATATGTGTGCTGGTGCAATAGCGCCTATTACAGCTCATTTAGTACCTGTTATTACAATTATTATAATTATGGCGCATTAATACATGTGTAGATATGCCCCCAGAGTATGTAACAACTCCAAAGAGAAAGTGAAAATGGGAAGAGGAGGATCCATTAAGAATGGAACAAATCACTGGGGAGGTAGACTAAACAGAAGAGTGAAGGCAGCCTTGAAAAAAGTCTAGAGGGAAAGACATTAATGTTTTGACAACACAAAATTAAAATTGAGGGTCAAATATAGGCATGAAACTCATTTTTAATTTCACTGCCTACAACAGCTTACATCTTTCAGTCTCTCAATGTGCCACCCTACCCTTCCCTCAGCTGTAATTTAGAAACTGATCCACGGTTTCATTATCATTGCAGGGAAAATACTTGAAACTGTGCTCCAAATTTACCCCGAAAACCTCAGAAGCCAAAAGACAAACATCAGGAACTGGAGAGGAACTTTCAAAAAGAGATCTAAGAAAAAACAAACCTCACTGTGGCTCAGTCTCCCAGCTATAAAATGGGAACAGTTCAACTTCTTCCCTGGAATATTTTGAAGATAAACAACTTTAAGGCCCATGAGGTGCTTGGTTACCCTGGGGGCGGGGGCTGCATAGGTACCTTAAGACACACAGGTAGCCTTTCTCTTGCAAGCACGAAGGTGTGGATGATACTTTCCCAACAGTGGAAAGAGGAAGAGAAGCAGGGACACACGCTGGCTTAGAACAGGGGTGCTCGACACCCATGGGCCAGAGCTATCCAAGGGACAAGAAATGTGGTGTCAGAGCAGTAGTATCATGGATAGCCGAATTTCTGGACTCACGGGCAGCCTCGTGGGCCAGACGGGTCGCCTGGGGCCTGATCCAGGCAGGCAGGGCCAGGCAGCGGGTTCAACCCAGAGGTGCCGGACCGGGCTAGGGTGCCATGAGATGCAACCCCACACACGGACCCGTGAAGGGTCCAGCTCATGGTCTGGCCCCGGCGCCACTCATCCGGCTGGCGGCTTGGCACGAGGCAGAGCAGGACCTCAGCGTCTAAATGGCTGAGGACGGCTCCAGCAGGCAGCGCTCGACTGGGCCAGGCGCTGCCATGCTCGAGACGTCGCAAGAAGAGAGCCAAGGAGCAAGGGAAGACACCCAGAGCAGCTTCAGGGGCGGGCCCAGGACCAAGGGGGCGACTGTCTCCAGGGCAGCAGGCCTGAGTGAGGCGCCTGCTCCGGCAGGGCCGGCGGAGAAGCCCGGCTGAGCGAGCCGCGGGCGGAACAGCGGGTCC